GGGCCCCGGACCAGGCCCTGCGGGCTCTCCAGGCGTCTGGGCTGCGCCTCCGAGCGACTGGGTGGCCGCTCTAGCAGGCGCCAGGCACCGGGTCGCCGCTGCACAGCCCCCTGCATAATGCCAGGCCTGAGCTCCAGCAGAGTGTGGTCACGCGTGACAGTCCCTCACTTACTGGGGCCCTGGGAGCATTTTTCGCCCCCCCCACGGTGCTCTAATAGACACAACACGGGGGGCGGGGTGCGACTCCAGGCTGAGCCCCAGAATCTGGGGAGCCAGCTGCAGACCCTTTCTCCACGGCCCCTGGCCCCAGGTCTCCAAAGGGTCTCCTCAATCCCTGCTGCCCACCGTGGGCGGTCCTGATGCTCCACTCTGTCCCAGAACTTGGGCACTTCGTGTTTCCTCTACACACTTTGTTGTATTTTCAGGCCTTCTCTGTCTTCCTGCTGTGTCCCTGGAGCTCAGAACAGTGTCTAGTACATACTTGGCAGGCTCTCTAAATTTTGGTGAGGTGTTGAAGAAAGGAGTTTGACTTGTTGGAGGAAAGGAAGGGCAGGAAGGCTGGGACAGAGGAGTGAAGAGGTTGGAAAGGGGCTGACTACATGGGACTTGGCAGGCCAGAGGTGGGTTTCCACTCTTGGGCTTGGTGAAAGGTGTTGGACGATTCTGAGCAGAAAGGGGCATGATGTGGCCCGTTTCTTAGCCGGGCCTTCAGGCTAGCGAGTTGGGGGAGAACTTAGTTTGAATGGAGCCGGGTGTGTCCAATTTACTTGACTTGGCAAACTGCTCTAGAAACCATTGCTTACTTTTTCAAAAAGGAAGCCTGGATGGGCACCGTAGCACACACCGTAATCCCAGCACAAAGAAGGATCAATAAAAAGAAAGGATCAAAAGAAAAAGAAAAAGGAAGCATTGCAGGGTCTAACTTTGCTGTTCCCAGCCCTGTCCTTTTCCCTCCTTCCAGGCCCCTAACTGCTAGTGGTGGAACTGTACCTTGTCACCAGGAACCCCATGCAGCCAGAACCCAGGCCTAGCGGGGCTCCCCGCAGCAGCCAGTTCCTGCCTCTAGGGTCAAAGTGCCCCGAGGGGTCAGGGGACGCGGTGATGTACGCATCCACAGAGTGCAAGGCCGAGGTGATGCCCTCCCTGGACGGCAACCGCACCTTCAGCTACACGCTAGAGGACCACACCAAGCAGGCTTTTGGCATCATGAACGAGCTTCGGTTGAGCCAGCAGCTCTGTGACGTGACGCTGCAGGTCAAATACGAGGACACCCCAGCTGCCCAGTTCATGGCTCACAAGGTGGTGCTGGCCTCCTCCAGCCCGGTCTTTAAGGCCATGTTCACCAATGGGCTTCGGGAGCAGGGCATGGAGGTGGTGTCCATTGAAGGCATCCACCCTAAGGTCATGGAGCGACTCATTGAGTTTGCCTACACGGCCTCCATCTCCGTGGGCGAGAAGTGCGTGCTGCATGTGATGAACGGGGCGGTCATGTATCAGTTTGACAGCGTGGTGCGAGCCTGCAGCGACTTCCTCGTGCAGCAGCTGGACCCCAGCAACGCCATTGGCATCGCCAATTTCGCTGAGCAGATTGGCTGCACTGAACTTCACCAGCGTGCCCGGGAGTATATCTACATGCACTTCGGGGAGGTGAGTGACGGCTAGGGCTCAGTTGTCGCAAGGAGTGGGACAGGCCATCATTAGCCACCCCACCCCCCTTGAAATTGGAAGTCATTCAAGTCTGTTGGAAAGCTTCTTGGTGTTTTCTTTTTCCTTCCTCCTGTCCCCGCAGAGGGGCTCATGTAGCTCAGGCTGGCCTAATCTGGTTATGTAGCTGTCTCACCTGTCTCAGTTTCCTCAGTCCTGGGATTACAGACATTCACGCTCACAGTTGACTGAAGTGGAAGCCAGGCTTTGTGAGCAGTCTGCCCGCGGAGCCACAGCTCCAGGACTTCATTTTTTTAATTAGTCTTCTTTAGGTGTACTGTTGGTTTTGTTTTTTGTTTTGTTTTGATTTTTGTTTTGGGGGTTTTTGTTTGTTTGTCTGTTTGTTTTTTCTTGAGACAATGTCTCTCTTTGGAGACAGGTAGACCTGGTTGTCCTGAAACTTGCTCTGTAGACCAGGGTGGCCTCAAACTCACAGAGATCCACCTGCTTCTGCTTCCCAAGTGCTGGGATTAAAGGCATGCACCTCCACTGCCCAGTCTGATGCTGTTTTTTAACTCCTGTTCTTGCTGTCATATTCTGAGTGCTGAGATCATGAGGCACGTGCCACCATACCCTGATAAAGTAAAAATTAACTTTTTGTACATTTATTGACATGTGTGCTTGTACACATGGACAGGCTGGTCTTGTGTGGAAGTCGGAGGACAACTGGCAGGAACTGGTCCTCTCTACTTTATATATGCTTCTAGGGTTAGCTCTGGTCATAGGGCTTGGCAGAAAGTGCCCTTACCTACAAAGCCATATTGCTGGACTGAAAACTCAGGTTATGAGCCCCTAATCTGGGAGACCCTAAGAACAGGGAAGATAAGTTCTCACAGTGTGTCAGCAGCCTGCTTTCTCTGGGGTCAGAAGCTGGAAGAAGACAGATGTGATGGCCAATGCTTTTAATCCCAGCACTCTGGAGACAGAGGCTGGTGGATCACTGAGAGTTGTAGGCCACTCTGGGCCACACAGTGAGACCTTACCTTGAGAGAGAGAGAGAGAGAGAGAGAGAGAGAGAGAGAGAGAAAGAGAGAGAGAGAGAGAGAGAGATTCCATTTGAACAACCAGTCAACATGTCTCCAGCAACTTCACGCTGCAGCCTTGCTTGGTCTTTCTTGGTCTCACGTAATGTTACTGCTTTCGTTTTCATTTCTCAGTGCAGGAAGTCTTCAAGGGAAGGTAAGAGGAAAGTCCCTGGCAAACGTCACAGTCAGCAGCACAGGTGGCAGTGACCAGAGAGGCCGTGCCCTGGGCATGACAGTGCATTCTGAGCATCACCAGTCCCCAGATCCCAAGTCTGAAATGCTCTAAAACCTTTTTGAATACGCATATGTCACCCTCAGGTGGGCAGTTCCACACCTGACCTCACAAAATGGGTGGTGGTCAAAACAGGCATAACATGCTGGCCTTGAATTCACTGAGATCTCCCTGCCTCTGCCTCCCGAGTGCTGGGATTAAAGGCGTGTACCACCCACACTAACCGCCTATATTTTTTCTTATTAATTTAAGGTTTTTATTGTGTTTATTTAGGGGGGCATACATGTGCCACAGTTCATGTGGAGGTCAGAAGACAACTTGCAGAAGTTGATCCTCTTCTTCCATAATATGAGTCCTGGGGGTTGAAGTGAAGTCCTCAAAAACTATCCATTCAACCAAGCAAACAAACCCAGTCCCTTTCTGAGCTGGTAAAGGCTCTCACTGCCAAGCCTGAAGACCAATTCCCAGGGACCCACATGGGGGAAGGCGAGAAACTATCCACAAGACATGAACTGTGGCATGCTCCACACACATACTCAATAAACCAATAAACAAATGTAATTAAAAATATGTTTTGAGAGCAGGTCTTATTTTGTAGACCAGGCTGGCTTGGAACTCACAGACATTCTTCTGCCTCTCCCTTCCGAGTGCTGGGATTAAAGGCCAGACTAGATTCAATTATTTATTTTTGAAACAGGATCTTACAGTGTTTTCTTGGCTGGTCTGGAACTGGCTACATAGCCCAGGCTGGCCTTGAATTCACATTCTCTTGCTTCTGCCTCCTGAGTGATGGGGGAATTACAGGCGTATACCACTATGCCTAGCTATACATTTTTTAAAAGTTAAAACCCAAATCAAACAATACAGATGCTTAAAGAGACCCCACTGTGTGCCCTGTGCCCTTTGTGAGGTTGCTCAGCCTGGAGGGCTTCCCAGAGCGCAGCCTCTCACCTGCGCTCCCTGCAGGTGGCCAAGCAGGAGGAGTTCTTCAACCTATCACATTGCCAGCTGGCCACGCTCATCAGCCGCGATGATCTGAATGTGCGCTGCGAGTCGGAGGTGTTCCACGCGTGCATCAACTGGGTCAAGTACGACTGCTCTCAGCGGCGCTTCTACGTGCAGGCACTGCTGCGGGCCGTGCGCTGCCACGCGCTCACGCCACACTTCCTGCAGACGCAGCTGCAGAAGTGCGAGATCCTGCAGGCTGACTCGCGCTGCAAGGACTACCTGGTGCAGATCTTCCAGGAGCTCACACTACACAAGCCCACGCAATCCGTGCCCTGCCGCGCGCCCAAGGTGGGCCGCCTCATTTACACAGCGGGCGGCTACTTCCGACAGTCGCTCAGCTACCTGGAGGCCTACAACCCAAGCGACAGCTCCTGGCTTCGCCTGGCCGATCTGCAGGTGCCACGCAGCGGGCTGGCTGGCTGCGTGGTGGGCGGGCTGCTCTATGCTGTGGGCGGCCGCAACAACTCACCCGATGGCAACACCGACTCCAGCGCCCTGGACTGCTACAACCCCATGACCAACCAGTGGTCGCCCTGTGCCTCTATGAGCGTGCCACGCAACCGGATCGGGGTGGGGGTCATAGACGGCCACATCTACGCAGTCGGGGGGTCCCACGGCTGCATCCACCACAGCAGCGTGGAGAGGTGAGCACGGGGTCCCAAAGGGAGGGCACCTGTTCTTCCCACCCCCAGAGGAGGCTGAGCAGATGGCATGTTCATCCTCAGTGTCCAGACTCGGGAAATACTGGAGGGGCTGTCCCAAACCTATAGGAATCATTAGCACGCTGGGGACTATGGGAATTACCACAATATGTGAAATATGTTATGCTAATTGTGTGTAATTACGTTAAAATGTATCATCTGACCTGGGATGTAGTTCAGTGGTAGAGCTCTGGTCCCTGGCTTGCACCCAGTTTTAGGTTCTAACCCCAATACTACCAAGAGAAAAAGGAAGAAAGAAAAGAGCCAGGGATGTGACTGGCGGAGCTTTTGCCTAGCACCACATAAGCCATAATGCCCGTCATCCCAGCGCTTGAGAGGTGGAGACAGGAGAGTCAGGAATTCAGAGTTATCTTTGGCTGTATGGCAAATTCTGGGCCAACCTGAAATATAAGAGACCCTGTCTCCAGACAGACAACTATCCCCCACACATTTAGGACTTGGAGCAAGGTAGGAAGATGAGAAAAACTGAAAAATACTCATGGTTCTGGGAATAGAATTTAGGGACTTGTGCATGCTAGGCCAGCCCTCTACCCCTGAGCTAACCCTACCCCCAACCTGCAAATGGAATTTTAAACCTATGCCCTAGGGGCCTCTAATGTGTATGGTCTGTGAATAGGATGGTGGGGCGATGTGTCACCTTGAGTGGGGCGCTTTCAAGAAGGACAGGGACACTATTAATAACTCCAGGAACACAGGTATGGACTGGATGCTGCCGGGCCAACCGGACGTGTTCACCCCATCTCTGATCATGTTGCTTGGAGGAGTACTGTCTGAGCAGTAGCCTAGTTGTCAGGCTTTCTTGGATTCTGGAGTTGGACACATGCACTGATGTCACTTAGTGATCCTGAATGTTCTACCCCGCATTTCTGATGCAAACCTCATGATGTGAGGTCCTGAGCTCCGATGAGGTGAAGCCCACACAGGCGATGCAGCACAAAGGGAAAACTTGCTAAGGGGACAGGACCTGGCTGTCACTTCCGTAGCTGATGGCTGTGAGCCTCAGTTTCTTCCTCTGGAAATGGAGCTGCTAACACCCTCCCTTGAGAGAAATAAAGCATCAGCCAGCAGGTGCTGCCTGCCTGTCACCCCAGCTCTGGGGAGGTTGAAGCAGGAGGATCTGGAATTCTGGGCTAGCATGGACTACACAGCAAGACCCTAGCTCTAAAATAGAGTAAAAAAAAAAAAGTGGTAGTAGGGGCTTATTGTAAGGAGGCCAGCTGTAGTTCCTGGGGTGACCATGGTGGGATCGTGTCCTTTGCAGATATGAGCCAGATCGGGATGAGTGGCACTTAGTGGCACCAATGTTGACACGGAGGATAGGCGTGGGAGTGGCCGTGCTCAACCGCCTGCTGTATGCAGTGGGGGGCTTTGACGGGACCAACCGGCTCAACTCAGCAGAGTGCTACTATCCCGAGAGGAATGAGTGGCGGATGATCACACCAATGAATACCATCCGAAGTGGGGCAGGTGAGTGGGTGTGTTGGAAAGACCCCACCCAGCCCAGTCTTGGAAGAGGCTTCCTTCCTCTGCCCTTCTCTCTTCCTTCTTGTTTTGTTTTTGTTTTGTTTGAGTCAGGATCAAACAGTCTGTCCTCTGATGTAGGTGGGTCTTCTATCTATCTGTTGCTTTCATTGGTTAATTAATAAAGAAAACTGCTTGGCCTGATAGGTCAGAACATAGGTAGGCAGGGAAGACAGAACAGAATTGTGGGAGAATGAAAGCAGAGACAGAGAGCCACTCGCCATGAAGCTGCCAGGTCAGACATGCTGAATCTTTCCCGGTAAGCCATGACCTCGTGGTGAGATACAGATTATTAGAAATGGGTTGAATCAATATGTGAGAGTTAGCCAATAAGAGGCTGGAGGTAATGGGCCAGGCAGTGTTTAAAAGAATACAGTTTCTGAGTAATTATTTCGAGTGTAAACTAGCCATGGATCCGGAATCCTGGCGGGAATGCAGCCCGCCACTGCTTTTGTAACAGTCCTCAGAATCGTTATGTAGCTGAGGACGACTTTGAACTCATGATCCTCCAGCCTGTCCAGCACTGGGACGGCAGGCCTGCTCCTCCACACCAAATTCCAGCTTGATTTCTAAGGGGTTCCTCCTGAAAAGAGTGATGGAGGGAGGAAGGTGGCTCCTGAGGGCCCCCTTAAACCAGACCTCAGAGTGACTCTCCGCTGTGTGCTTTTGTTTAGGGGTCTGTGTGCTACACAACTGCATCTATGCGGCGGGGGGCTACGACGGGCAGGACCAGCTGAACAGCGTGGAGCGCTACAACGTGGAGACAGAGACCTGGACTTTTGTAGCCCCCATGAAGCACCGACGGAGTGCACTGGGGATTACTGTGCACCAGGGCAGAATCTATGTCCTTGGTGAGGGCTAAGAAGTGGGCGAGGGTGGAAAAGACTCTTCTGTCCATATCTCTTCTTAAGATTTGGTGCTGAGGATGGAACCTGAGGAACACCTGAATGCTTGACAAGTGTTCTGTAACTCAGCCACTCCCTACTCCCCTACACCCCCAACGCCTCCACCCTGCTTCACTGGGAAGTCTAGGCAAGGGTTCTATCACTGGGCTTCATTCCACCTCATCCCCATGTGTTACAAACGGGTGGCTTCCCCTTCCTGTTTTCTGTTGTCTTTTCATGGAAGTTAGATCGAGTCCTCTGAGGGAGGTGACCATCTTCATTCTCTCTACAGGAGGCTATGATGGCCACACGTTTCTGGACAGTGTGGAATGCTATGACCCAGACACTGACACCTGGAGCGAGGTGACACGTATGACATCTGGCCGCAGTGGGGTGGGTGTTGCCGTCACCATGGAACCCTGTCGGAAGCAAATTGATCAACAGAACTGTACCTGCTGAAGCACTTGGGTTACCTGAACACTGACAAGTAAGAAAAACAGTCCATATAGACCACCGCTGTCTTTGTACAAAAAGAAAGGAAGAAAGGAAGGAAGGAAGGAAGGAAGGAAAAAGAAAGAGGAAAACCAAACAAACCCACAAACAGAACACAGGGACAGGAGGCAGCAGAAGAAAGCATCCCTCTCCAGGAAGGGCGGCTGGGATGCTGTGGAAATGACATTGTGGAAGACCAGAACTAAATCCATATGCCCGTTTGTCACAGCCCCTGGAGCATCCAGGACGTCTGCCTGCGGTGTGGTATGGAAGGGGCACCCTCACAAGTGAGAGGCCCCTATACTCTCTGGCTGGGGATGAGGCCGCCAGCACTCAGATTCCTTTGGGGGGGAACAGGAAAAACAGGGGTCATACGTGTTTTCTTTGGTCCCTACAACTTGGTGATCAAATCTACGGGACAAGGGGAAGAAGGGGCCAGGTGAGGCCAAGAGGCTGAGGCTTCTCAGAAGCTGCCATCCCCAGGGACAAGCCTGCACAGAGAACACTGGGCCTCTACGCCCTGTGTTAAGAACCCTTTAACTTTCCCATGGAAATTAAAAACGGATTTAGCAGTGTCTTGTACATAGGTCCTCAGAGGGCGGTTGGAATCCCTCAGGGAGAGACAGTTCTTCTATTGAAATACACTCGGATCTTGATCGGGGCTGGCATTTGAAACCTGTCTGTTTTCTCCGCGTACCATTGTGCACTCTGCTCATATGGGGCATCTTGCACCCTCGTGGGCCACACAGCCGTCTGTCAGTTTTAGGTGCATTAGAAGCCAATGACCTAACTTTGTGCCACTTCCCCTGGGGCCTCCTGTGTTTTACTTGACTTTGAGACATGGTCTCGTGTAGCCCAGGATGACCTTCAGTTCAGATCCTGCACACCTGACCTTCCCTCCTCCTCAGCCTCCTGAGAGCTGGGATTACAGTTGTATACCATCAAACCTGGTTCCTGCTTGTCCTTTTTGTACCCAAGCAGCAAAATAAAGATTTCTGGGACCTCGAGTGTGGCTCAGTGGATAGTTAATGTAGCATGCATGAAGTCCTGGGTACCATCCCTAGCACATATAAACCCTGCTAACCCACACTTGTGTTCACAGCAGCAGGAGGGTTGGGTTCAGAGTCGTGTGAGCGTATAGCCAACTCAAGGCCAGCCTGACCTACACGAGACTTTATCTCAAAAATAATAGTATTAATTATATTTTATACACACACACACACACACACATACACACACACTTGATTTTTCAAGACAGTGTTTCCCCGTGTGGCCCTGGCTGCCCTAAAACTAGCTATATCTCAGAGATCCACCTGCTTCTGCCTCCCAAGTGCTGGAACTAAAAGCATGCACTCCTGTTAATACTTTTACTTATTTTATTTATTTTTGTTTTTCAAGACAGAGTTTCTCTGTGTAGCAGCCCTGGCAGTCCTGGAACTCACTCTGTAGACCAGACTGGCCTCGAACTCACAGAGATCCACTTGCCTTTGCCTTCTGTGTGTTGGGATTAAAGGTGTGCTCCATTGTGCCCAACTGGTAATATTTTTTGTTTGCTTCTTTTTTCTTTTTAATTTGTTTTTTATTTTATCTGCTTTGGTGTTTTAGCCATGGGTATTGGAGTTACAGTTGTGAACTACCATGTAGGGGCTGGGAATTGAACCCAGGTCCTCTGGAAGAACAGCCAGTGCTCTTAACTGATAAGCCACCTCTTCAGCCCTAATCAGCTGGTAATATTTTTTTAAAATAATTTATTTATTTTTACTTTATGTGCATCGGTATTTTGCCTGCATGTATGTCTGTGTGAGGGTGTCAGATCTTGGAGTTACAGACAGCTATGAGGGACTTGAACTGTGGACCTCAGGAAGAGCAGTCAGTGTCCTTAACCACTGAGCCATCTCTCCAGACAACAAACAAATGACATATGTTGTATACACTAGATTGCAGAGGTGGCTCAGCGGTTCTTCCCAAGGACCAGAACTGATTCAAAACAAGAGCAGGCTTTGATGCCTCTGCTATCTTTGAGGCACTTGCACACAAATGCACACATGCAGACAAACATGTGGCCATATGTGACCTTTTGAAAGTCTCTCAGAAAGCAGGAAATGAAGCTCAGTAGTAGAGCCCTTACACCATCGTTTGTTTTGTTTGAGACAGGGTTTCTCTGTGTTGTCCTGGCTGTCCTGGAACTCACTCTGAAGACCTGGCTGACCTCAAACTCACAAAGATCCACCTGCCTCTACCTCCTGAGTGCTGGGATTAAAGGTGTGAAAGCTACCAATGCTTGGCTATTTATTTATTTATTTATTTATTCTTGGTGCACACATTTAATCCCAGCATTTGGGAGGTAGAGGCAGGTGGATCTTTGAGGCCAGCCTGGTCCTCACTGAGAGAAAACAAAAAGAAAAAAGAGAGAAAGAAACCTAACAGTGAGGGGTTGCGGTAAGCAAGCAATAGGACATGAATGAATCTCCAGCACCCATGTGAGAACCAGGTCTAGCTGCATGCCTGTGACTCTAGCACTGGGGGCAGAGACAATAGCCTGCCAGCCTGGGTGAAATGGTAAATTCCAGGTTCAGTGAAAGACCATGGAGAGGAGGGGAAAGGGGAGAGGGAGAGGGAGGGAGTAGGAGACAGAGACAGAGAGAGACAGAGAGCGAGAGAGACCATTCTTGCAGAGGACCCAGGTTTAGTTCCAAGCACCTGTTTAATTCACGAGAACCTGTGACTCAAGTCCTAGGGAATCTGATCCTTTTGGCCTGGATGAGCATCTGCAAGCTTGTGGTGCAAACAAACTCAGAAAAGCACACATGCACACACATATAGAGAGAGAAGGAAGGAGGATTTGGATAGCTGCAAGGAAGCCTGCTAGCATACTTTTGGTTTGCGTGTGTAGCCTTGAGGAATGTTGTAGATGTCGCTAGGTAGTCCTTTTAGCACTTCTGATATATCTTCCCTTTTTATTACTTCAGTTACATTGATTTATACATTGGGGGAGCAAGCCCACCGTGACACTTGTATGACTGTCAAAGGAGAGCATACAGGAGTCAGTTCTAGGTGTCAATCTTAGGTCATCAGGCTGGTGGCCAGCCCCTTTACCCACAAACCATCTCATTGGCTCCGTCCTGGTGCTTCTGCTCAGCGTTTGGGTAGGGGAAACTAAGTCTTCGTACCAGCAATGAAAGGTCCAGACAGCTGAGGCGATTAACTCCCTGGTGCCACCCCTGTCTCTTGAGTGGGTGATCTTTGTTGTAGAGGGTTACAGCCCCCACTGTCAGGTTCAGTTTCCTGACTCTAAAGCTGCCGGATTCTCAGAATCAAGTGCATTTACCATCTGTTGTTATTTGTGAGGATGGGACTTTGGCCATCTCTCAGGCAGCACACCCTGCATTAGCAGCTGGATCAACCAAGGGCGGGTTTTGAGGGTGGTGCTGGAGCTTGAACCCAGGGCCTGCTGCACGCTATGTTCTCTACCTCCGAGCTACAACCTCCGCCCCAAGGTAGTAGCATTTAGCTTCTCTTGCATGCTTTTTCTCTCTTTCTCTCTCTCTCTCTCTCTCTCTCTCTCTCTCTCTCTCTTCCTTTCTCCCTTTTCTCTCTTTATTTCTTTTCCCCTCCCTCCCTTCTCCCCTCCCCCCTCCCTCCCTCTCTTCTTTCTTTCTTGACAGGGTTTCTCTATGCAGCCTTGGCTGTCCTCATTCTGTAGACCAGGCTGGCCTCGAATGCTCAGAAATCTGCCTGCCTCTGCCCTCCCAAATGCTGGGATTAAAGGTGTGCACCACCACTGCCCAGCCCATGCCTGGATTTTTAGTTTGGTACTGGGGATCTAATTCAGGTTCCCTTGCTTGTGCAGCAAGCATTTTACTGACTGCTTGTGACTACAAGTGACTCACTTCTGTTTTTGTTTTTTAAAACAGATCTGGGGGACTGGAGAGATGGCTCAGTGGTTAAGAGCATCGCCTGCTCTTCCAAAGGTCCTGAGTTCAATTCCCAGCAACCACATGGTGGCTCACAACCATCTGTAATGAGGCTTGGTGCCCTCTTCTGGCCTGCAGGTATATACACAGACATATTGTATACATAATAAAAATAAATAAATTTTTTTAAAAATTAAAAAAAAAAACCAGATCTGGGGACTCACAGAGATCCACTTGCCTGTGAAGTCCAGACTGACACCGAACTCATGATCTGATAACTTCAGTTTTCCATGTGTGCAGGTTACAAGGCCTGGGAGTTTTTCATTTTGAATACTGGAAACTCAGCAGCCCTGGACACCCTCACCACTCATCTAGGTCAGTCAAAATCTAGTTGAGTACTAGACTCGAGAGATGATTCAGCAGTTAAGAGCACTTGTTGCTCTTGCAGAGGACCCAGTTCATTTCCCAGCACCTGCAAGGTTGCTTGCAGCCATTCCTAGCTCCAGTTCTAGGGGACCTTCACAGGTACTGCATGCACGTGGTGCTCAGCCTACATTTTTGTTTGTTTGGTTTGGTTTGGTGTTTTGAGACAGGGTTTCTCAATGTAGCACTGGCTGTCTTGGAACTCACTCTGTAGACCAGGCTGTCCTCAACTCACAGAGACCCGCCTGCCTCTGCCTCCTGAGTGCTGGGATTAAAGACTTGTGCTGTCACCGCCCAGCCACAGCCTACATCTTAAAAAAAAATCTCATTGAGCTGAATATGGCGTCTTGCACCTGTAATCCCAGCAACAGGAAGTCTGAAGCAGAAGGATTCCAAGGAATTCCAGGCTAACGAACTTGAGAGAGCCCGTTTTTCATTTAATTTGACTTTTAATTTTTATTACATTTAAGAGAGAGGGAGGAAAAGAGAGAGGAAGGAAGGAGAGCACCAGGGTAGAGGTGAGAAGACAACCCGAAGGAGTCAGTCCTCATGTGGGTCCTGGGAATCCACTCAGGTCAGGCTCGGTGGGCATCAGGCTGAGTGGGGCATCATCTTTACCTGTTGGCCATTTTGCCAGCCCAAGATCTTGGTTTCAAGCAAAACAATAACAAAAAACAGGGCCTTGAGAGAGCTGGTTCAGTGGAAAAAGCACTTAACTACTTGAGGGGAATATCTCACTTTGGGTACTCTGCACCCAGGTGGTGGCCTATAATCACAGCTGCCTGGCTGAACCCCACAACTCCAGGTTCCCTGAGACCCTGCCTGGAAAGTAAGGTGGAGATCCGTGGAGGAAGCTCCCCCAGGACCTGCAGTTAAGGCCTCCACAGAAAAGCACTCCCCCCGCAAACATCTGTGTGCATACCACACATGCGCACATGCAAGAATGAGAAACAAGATCCTAGTTGGTCACCCCACAAGGAAGGATTGCAAGCAGGTAGGGCAGAGGGTGGAGCTCTCTGATACAATGTGGGCTGAGCCTACGCAAAGCCCTGATCCCATCCTCAGCATGTCTGTAAATAAACTCATTGGTTAACACGGGAGGGGCAGGTGGATAGGGTCAAAGTTAAACCTCAGCATTCATGTGCTTGTCATCTTAGGTCAGCTTGGCCTGGCAGGGGACAGGAGTGCATTAGGGAGAGCTAGGCCAAAGGTGCTGGCAACCATCCAGGGGAGAGGTGGTGGTGATTCAGGCTCAGCGCATGTGGGCAGGCACGTAATGAGGAAAAATACAAGTAAGCTAATTGGATAGAGCGAAGCCAATGATAGATGATTAACAAGTCCGCCATTCTCTCTCCTACTATGCCGGAGCTAAAACTCAAAAACTCAAGATCTTGTACACGTTGTTTAAGCACACTGCCCAGCCACACTCCCAGGCCTCACTAGAGGATTCTAGACAGGGGCTCCACCACTGAGCCATGCCTCCAGCCCCTCACTGGGGGATTCTTTTCCTAGTTTTCTTTTTTGTTTTTGTTTTTCAAGACAGGGTTTCTCTGTAGCTTTGGAGCCTGTCCTGGAACTAGCTCTTATAGACCAGGCTGGCCTCAAACTCAGAGAGATCTGCCCGCCTCTGCCTCCTGAGTGCTGGGATTAAAGACATGATACTGTTCAAT